GGCGCCGTTACCGTCACCGCCGGCGTGACGCCCGTCCCACGGGGTCACCAACCCCATCCCTCCCCGGGCCCGCCGCGGCCGGTCCGTTTTGGCGCGCCGCGGGGGTCGCACAAGCGTATTTACAAATTGCAACCGAGCTCCGCCGTGGGGTAAGGTGGGCAGGGGTTTTCGCACTACGGCTGCGGTTGAACTACCGTCTGTGGTAGAAACTTCAGGATGATGGCGCGTTTCATACGAAATCTGGCGCAATGTTTATTTGCTTCTGAACTTGAATTGTTATTGCTGTGAACTCTTGAAGTGGGAGTGTTTCGATAGCAATTTGTGGATTATTTGGGTTTCTTGATATAAAAATCGAATAATATTATGAAACATTGTGTGGAAACTGCAAATACTGATATAATCAATTGCTTGGTTTGGGAATTGATACACATTTTGTAGAGCTTTGTCTGGCAAATGGTGTAACAAACTTCAAGCCTATCATGATCTGAAGCTGTTCTAACAAATCAAAATTGCTTTGATGTTCCATAGTACCTTGTTGGAAAGACTGGAGCATGGTTCAAAATGATGTGTAAAAATTCAAGATTTGTGCAAAAGCTTATGACTGAAGAGCGAAAACAGTTCTATATGATGGCTCAATCAAACGTGGAAATGGACGATAAAAGTAGAGTTTCAACATTCCAGCATGTGAGAATAACTTCAGAACTTCATAGTTCTTGTAGCATTGCATTCTTCTTTTGTACAGTTCCAGGTTTTGTTAGGGTATTTCAATTTCAATGTGTCAGTTACTCAGTTGAGATATAGGTGGATTGCGGACAAAATTTAGAATCATTGCATGGTGGATAGGTACTTGTTCGGTAAAAAGGTATGTGATGAATGCCACGAGAAAGTTTTTATGATTAAATATATGTTCATTGTTGTACCTACAAAAATGCAAGCTTACCTAGCACCTAGTTATTGAATCAAATTGAAAGTATTTGCTATGAATGTAAAAATGTGCCTGCAAAGTATGTCAATAAATTTGTGTGATGTTGACCAGAGAGCTGTATCATCTGGGCATTTATGTTGCTTCTTACATTAGGTGTTAAGCATAGTAATTATGGATGAACTTTGTGCCAATATCTTCAATTTACAGTGCATGTAGCATGTCTACAACCCTCACTGATCCTGCTATAGCTATAGCCATTTGACTCCAGCAAGACCAAGGGCATGAACTTCACAGTTGCACAACCCTTTTCATGTACCACCAGTCACTTTTTTTCCTTAAGGTGCACATGGCAGTGTACACAATAATGCGCAGAGGGCCTACACAAAAACAACATGATTAGTGTGCACTATGATGCACAGCATTGTACCCTGATTATTTGAATATTCTGATCACTCAACAGTCAGGAGACCATTTTTGAATGTCACATTTATTATACATACATCACTTGTCAAACAAGAGCATGATGACACACATTTTGACAAGCAATCATGGTAATATTCCAATAAGTTGGACACCTCCCTGGGCGTCATTTTCCAGGAGGGTACCTCTGCAGGTGTTGTGGTAGGTTAGGTTGAATTGGGTTAAGTTAGGTGAAGTAAGGCGGTTAGGATCAGGTCAGACCGTAAGACCTGGTCAGGTTGATTTTAATCTTTCATTCTAATTTGACATAGATACCTATTACCTATGTTTTTGCTCCAGACTGAACTTCATTAGGTAATGAGTTCATTTTGTTTTGTTTTTTATCTGTCTTGTTTTGTGTTTTTGTCCCTTATGTTTTGCCCCATAGGCAAGGGTGGAGCTTTTCCAGGGAAGGTGGTGCTGGTGGGGCAAAAAGCTGTCAAACCTGCAATGTTCGGTTGTTAAGTTAGATTATGGGCAACACTGAATCAATTCTTTTAATTACAGAATTAACATTTTGAGTTACACAGACATTTTAAAGCTCCTCAATGAGAACAACATAGTGGTTTGCTAAGCAACGAAGTTCTACAAATAAGCAAAAGTTGGAGGGGCAGAACGCTATTTTTTCTCTGACAGCTTCGTAACATGTTACGAAGGCACTAAAACTACTTCAGTACAGGGTGTAACGAAATTATCCGATTCCGGACATCTATTTTTTCGCCATATCTGTTTGCATAGTTTTCTAATCCTTTCTGATGTTAGAAGTGGGAATATTGGATGAATACGTGCCTCTAGTGCTATCGGTTTTCAACTCAGCAGTGACCTGACCTTGTCATGTGACTGTTGCTCTGAGTAGGAGTCGATTCACAGACGGGTTCACAATAGTTTTCGTCCAAGGCAGTTGCGAGAAAGGGATACAATCTCTCCTTTCGTGGTAAAATTGCATGGCGGCATCCACGGCGGCATGAGCCAGAAGCTGGTCTGCCAGCAGCTGGACATCAGCAGCAGCCAATTGCACATCTGCCTGAGGTGTAATAAGCTGGGACTTCGGTGGCAGACTCAGCCCGGTCGCGACCACAAAAGCCGCCCTTTGTCAAATGGTGAGGAGAGTCATCAAGATAGCGGCAAGGAAACGGCACCAATCAATCTGCAAATTGACTCGAATTCTTACCAAGTCAGATAATGAGAGATCCCATATCATGGTTTACCGCTACCCGCCCTTTAACTTGGTTCTATTGCCCTTCAAACTGAAAAAGACAACGAAACTGACGGGAAAACAACCAGTTCACCACCTTTCGCCTCACGCCAGATCGCGTCCACTGGTTGAAGAATGATAAGGGTGAGGTGGTCTGGTTGGATGGGTAGCCGTTCGAGCTGTATTATCCTTTGAACCGTCAAATCGGCCATGTATGGGCGGCCAGCCGCTCGAACTTGCTGGCCTTCGCCGCCGTCAAACATCCGGACAATATCCAGAACTGGAGCATGTTCAGCTGCCTAGCGATCCTCCAATAGGACATAGTGTCACATAATACCGCCATCAACGTAAGTATTACCGGAGAAACATACTGGCCAATGAATAGTGGGAGGCGCTCAACCAGACGGTATAGGAGGGCTCGGTTTCTGAACGCGCACTGATGCCTGATTCAAGCCACGCTGTCTTCATGCGGGGCGGCGCGCTACTTAGAAGTCCCTAAAAGAACGGGAAGTGATGCCGATAGAACCTTCAATCATTCTGGGCTAACGCTTATGACTTGGAAAAAGTCGCGATCCCAATTCAATCGAAAACCTGTGGGCTCTTGTTCAGCAGGTGACTGAAGAGACGCCCGCCACAAGCACCGCCCAACCGCAGGCACAGGTTGAGACGGCGTTGGTCCGCATCAAAACCAGTGTGCTGGAGAATCCATTGGCTGAAATGCTCCAAAACATTCGCCACTGTGTTTTTATGAAAGGTGGCTACATGCTCAGTCAAAATAAAAAGTACCACAATGTTTTGCTTTTTAATTACAGCGGGAAGAAAGATGTCCGGATAATTTCGTTACACCCCCTGTAATGTTCAAATGGTTGCTAAATTCGAAATCAGCTCCAAAAACTAGCCTAGAAACATGCTAAACTCGAAAAAGTGAACCGAGGTCATCAAAGGTCATTGAGCTGACCTGACCTTCATGTGACACCCACCCTAATGCATGGGACCAGCATCATATCACATGTTTCAACGCTTGAAACCACGTAAAGACTGCAAACGCGCGGCTAATGCGAGCCGACATACGCCGAATCGCGATTCGGGCCAAACATGGTCTCGAGAAATAGGTCACAAATCCAAGGTCATTTGGGTCAGGGTCATGAAATTTTCAGGGTAGGAGTAAAATTGATAAAATCGGGGGTATTGAAAGTTTCGTCGCGATCGGACGGTTTTTACGCGAGTTACTCACGAAAAACCGATGGGGTCCGCTCAACGCCTCCCCCTATACGGGCGAGGAAAAAGCGCAACCAAAAAGGCAAAAATATGCACATGCGATAACCTATACTGCGAAAAAAGGTGCATCATTTTTTAACGTCGCCGACAAATTGTAATTACCCCAAGCTCAGGCAAATGTATGGTAGAAAATACCCCAACTGAAATATACTACGGCGGAAATAAAATACCCTACGGCGGAGCTCGGTTGCAATTTGTAAATACGCGTCGCACAAAGGTGCTGCTCCGCAGTCAGCTGACGGCGCCGCGGGCGTGTGACGTCACAGGCCGGCCGCGCCTCCTGACGCCCACTTGGCCGAAGTTTGGCGGGCGGCGGCGGTGGCGACGCCTGGTTATGGCGGCCGACGAATCTCCGGTCTATTATAGCAGGCCGATCCAACAATGAGCTGAAAATGTGGCCCGCGGGAATGGGGCGGTTTATAAATGGAGTTAGCGGAGGTGCAGGGAGGGTGAAACTGGTCCCGGTGGGTACGGTGCCGCTCCCGTGTCGGGGGCGGCGATATGCCGCACAGGTGCGTCCTAAGCCGACACTCCCAGCAGGTCACAACTGTCACCAAAGTTCTGGCCTTGTTGGAAGCTCATCGGGCGGCGACTTTGATGGTCTATTTTTAGGTCGGTGCACTTCAGGTGTGCTCGTTTTTGTCTGCTTTATCCGGCTCGAGGTGTTGTTGGTGCGCGAAATTGTGCACTGTGGCCACTGTGCAGTGGAGGAGTGCTCAATGACACCGTGCGGTCAACGGTGATGTGTCTGGTGTATGGATTGGTAGCTGAACTGTGGGCAGGGGGCCCATTACAGACGAGTGTTAGCTTGTGTTGTTGTCAAAACACCTTGTCGATGTATTGTCTGAATTGAAGGGAATGCCTTCCGTTGCTTCACCATTATTTCCCCAGTGCCTGTAACAGATCCCCAGTGGCAAGTGTAACGGACTGCCGTATACCGAAGATTCGGCAGATTTGTTATCGCGACTCATTGATACATTTCTTCCGCTTGAAATAATGCTGTGTGGCGTGCCTATTCCTTAGTTTATTTGTGCTTCAGTGGTGTCCGCTTTTCCCAAATCGCATTCCCTCGCGTCCAACACTCCAAACCTCCCACCCTCTCCAACTCTACCCCGACTGACCTCTGCTCCCCTCTCTGCCCAGGTTCTGAATGAGGCCGTCGGCGCCCTGATGTGGCACGGCATTAGTCTCACCAAGGACGACCTGGAAAAGTTTCGCGCGCTCAAGATCATCGTCCGCGTCGGCAGCGGCGTCGACAACATCGACACCAAGGTGAGAACGTCGTCGACGACGACGATGATGACGATGACGACACGCCCAAGTTGCGGCGCCAAGTTGGTGCCGGACGTTTAGCGTGGGGGTGGGGAGGGGTGTTGGAGGGCTGAGTTGCAAGGACGCCGCGCCGTGAGAGTTTGGAGGGGGAAGGGAAGGGAGGGAGGGAATCGCCGTGAGACCGGCTGGCGGAAACCGTGGCCGGCACGGTCAGTTGGGCAGGTTAGGCGGCGCATTAGTGGCACGCTGGTGTGGCGCCGTGAGAACGGTGACGATAGCGGCGCGGAGGGGGCGGCGGCGGCGCACCGGCGCGCGCGGCCAAAGGTGACGACTCGGCCGACCACGTGGTCAGTGCGCCGCGGCGCGGCCGGCGGCGGCGGGCGGCGGCCACCCACCTCCCCGGCCGGTGCGCGCGGAGGACGGGGGGAGGGGAGGGGGAGAGGTCCGGTCGACCGGATCGATGGAGAAAAACTGCGGACAAAGACGGCTGGTCCGGTTCGAATGACCACCCGGCGAGCGGCTCGTCGAACGACCGGGGGAGGGGGATCGGTATGGGTCCTGGGGAGGGAGGGGTGGTGGGGACGATGCGCCGCGGCTAAAATTGGTGACGCTGCGACGTGCAACGGCGGCGACTATTCCTGACAGGCTCGCGGCGTCCCGGGCAGGAGCGGGTGACTCACAGGGGGGGGGGGGGGGGAGAGCAGACCCCGCCAGCTGAGTGACCACCACCTCTCTCCGGTGGGACGCGCTGCTCTCTCCGTCTCTCCCCTCCCCTCTCTCCTCTGCTCTCAGTGTGATCGATGCTCCTCCCGTCTCGGCCGGTGCTGCTCCGCGCGCCCTGCCCAGTCCGGTTCGGCCGCCCGTCCCTCCCCTCCCCCTCCCCCACCGGCGCTCCCGGCCTCTGACGCCGCGGCAGCACCGCCCGCAAGAACGGCCTACGTGCGCGCGCGGCCGGCCGGCCGGCGGCTGGGTTGACGGGCCGGCCTGGCCTTTGTCTGGCGGCGTATCAGGCGGTGGGGCGGCTACCGACGGCGGACGGCCCTCCCCGTCCCCCTCCCCCTCCCCGTCCCTCCTACCTAGCCGGTATCCGGGGTGACAGCGGCCGAGGACAGCGGACAGCGGACGGCGCAGGGTCGATGGCGGAGGGTGCGCTCAGTGAGGGATGCTGACGGGCCGCTCGGTCAGCGACTGAACCCCCCCCCCCTCCCTGCCTGCCCTCCCTCTCAGAGGGATCACCTGTCAGCGAGGCGGTATCACCCCCACGGGAGGGAGGGGGAGTCTACACAGGTGCCCGTCTGCAAGATAGGGACTTCCACTCGGTGTTTGCACAAAGCTATTGGAGATCGGCTGCGCGGAAAGTACTACGGTGGCCAAACAAACATTTTCTGCCTGACAAGCCTGCCAACTTGGCGCCAAGTTTGCGCTGAACTTGGGTCGACAAGTTGTAAGACTGATAGTTGATCCGGGAACTTACATTAGGGAGAGTTTGTAATGAACTTGGCCGTCCTTTGAGCGTGTCCTTTTGAACGTGTCCTCTGACACGAAGTTGTACTGACAAGAATGACAGCTGTCCCTCTCTCTGAGGTTATCAGTCCTATATTCCTTCACTACGGCCTGAGTTATGACACACGGCTGCTGCTCCGATTTGAGCTGACGTTTGCTGGGCTGACGCTGCCACCAGCCAAGTGTGCTTAGTGCTGATGCTGCGTGCTGACTGCTGACGAGAGGTGTACCGAGAGGACGCGTCAGCACGGAGGGTGGCGCGGGTGCCACGTCAGCGATACGAGCCACGTCATCAGGCCCGGTGGCGTCATCAGTGGACGCTGACGGTGGCGTGACTGAAAACAGCGACAAAAGGCGTTCGCATGGACTGAGAAATGGACACAGAAATTATGAAGTGATTCCCCTTGTTCTAGTCTAATAAAGTGGTACAAAATCAGCTTGGTGGCATGGTTCTATTTTGTTTTATGAGGGCGGGCTTTTGTCGAAGGTGATTTCAAAAGTTTGAAGCGTGATTTTGCAAAGTTCGCCTGTCATTCCGAAGTTGCGTTGTCTTTTCTCTGGTATTGGAAACCCGTTCTGTCGTGACTGACTCAGCCGGGCGGCCGCCGGCCAGAGAAAGTCTGCGGCCCGCCCTCCCGCGGCGGGGGCGGGGGCGGGGGCGGCTCAGGTGTCGCCGCTCGGAAATCCGAGTCGCCGCCGACAGTGCCAACAACTCTGCACAACTCGCCAACTTGGGCACAACTTCCCGGCGACACGGGCTAACTTGCGCGCCGCCGCCGCCGCCGCCGAACAAGTTGGCTGATCGTGTCCTCCCGCTGCGCCGCCCGGCCCTCTCTCCACCCCTCCACTCTTCTATTTTATTCCGCCGCCGCCGCCGCCGCCGCAGACGCCACGACATGCTCGCTGCAACAGAGATTAGGCCCCCGTTGCCCGCGCCACTATCACCAAGCGTTCGCCTCAGTTGGCTGTCAGCGGCCGAAACCACTCGCGTCGGCTCGTTTGTAGGGTAGGACGGCCCCTAAAAAACGCACCGACGGAGTGATAACGACGAGGTATATGGTCGGGATTAAGGATATGCAGGTTTGACGAATCTCGAAGTCGCATCTATTAAATAGGTGAGGGTGGGTGGGAAACTTCTCGCCCACTCTCTGCTCCACTCGCCGTCCGTCGCAGTCGACGACTGCCGTTCGCGCCTCTCGGCTCTCCTGCCAGCGGCGCGCCCGTTCCTACACTCCCCTTCGCACCACCCCTAGTCAGGGTCTGCCCCGCGTCTGTCGGCGGGGTGATTTATCTATCTCCGACCCCCGTCTCCCTTTGCTCCGGTCACGTTCAGTGGCGCCCGGGCAGGGTCCTAACCTTCCATAGCCGCGTCGCCGCTATGAGTTGATTAGGCCCCCGTTGCCCGCGCCACTATCACCAAGCGTTCGCCTCAGTTGGCTGTCAGCGGCCGAAACCACTCGCGTCGGCTCGTTTGTAGGGTAGGACGGCCCCTAAAAAACGCCAAATGATGTATGCGTATGCCGATTTGCAGAAATACGGAGGCGGCCACTTAGAAAATACTTTGAGACCTTTTCACAAAGAGACTCCTTGAGTGCTAAACCGAGCCTCCAAGGTGACTGGCTGAGATGTGTTTCTGCGGCAGCGTATGTCCATCAGGTTGCGTTCGGAAGCGCTTCTCGAAATGCGTGGTCTGTTTTGACAAGGGGCCTTATCCCATCTAACCAACCCCGCCACGTTGCCTCGTCAACAAGTGCTGCTTTATCTCGCTATTGAAGCGGCTCCCAGGCAGGTTCGTGTCAGGTTTCGTGGCAAGATGTTATATGCGATGACAATAGCGTGTCTGAACTACGCCTGCCAGACTCCGATCGAATCGCCGGCGTGACTAAATGGTCTGCGTTCCGTGTTGTACGGTACGGCGGTGAACACCTCCACGAGTGACCAGGTCGCCGGCGATCGACTCAGGCTCTGATGTCACTAAAATGCGCTTTAGTAAGCTAAGTGCCTACCGTGTTGCAGAGGGCCGAGGTGACGGCGGCGCACCTGGCGCCTGTAAGTTGCAGAGTAGCCGAGGCGTCGGCGGCAGGCCTGATGCGTGTGCATGGGTTGCAGATTAGCCGAGGCGCCGGTGGCGGACCCGATGTGTGCAGGGGTTACAGTGCAGCCCAGGCGTCGGCGGCGGGCCCGATGTATGTGCATGAGTTACAGAGTAGCTGAGGCGTCGGCGGCGGTCCTGATGTAGGTACTTACGTGCAAGGGGTGTAGCGTAGCCGAGGCGTCAGTGGCGGACCTGATGCGTGTGCGTGAGTTGCAGAGTAGCCGAAGCGTCGGCGGCGGACCTGATGTATGTGCCGTTGCAGAGTAACCGAGGCGTCGGCGGCGGACCTGATGCATGTGTGTGAGTTGCAGAGTAGCCGAGGCGTCGGCGGCGGACCTCATGTACGTGCGAACATGGGTGGAGAATTGTTTTCAAAGTTGGTATGGCGCCAGTTGCTCGAAACAATACTATCGTGTTTTATTCTTATCAAACTGAAATCCTTAAATTTCGTAGCTGTTACCCTGAAAAGTTGGTATGGCATTGCCATACCATCTTTTAAGTTGGTGTGGCGCGTGCCATGCCTGCCATACCATATTCTCGACCCATGCCGGTGCAGATTTTACGGGGTGGCTGAGGCTATACGACGGCGGGCCTGATGTGTGTGCATGAGTAGCAGAGGGGCCGAGGCGTCGGCGGCGGACCTGATGCATGTGCATGAGTTGCAGAGTAGCCGAGGCGTCGGCGGCGGACCTGATGTATGTGCGTGATTTGCGGAGTGGCCGGGGCGTTGTCGGCGAACCTGATGTGTGTGCGTGGGTTGCAGAGTAGCCGAGGCGTCGGTGGCGGACCTGTTGTATGTGCAGTGCAGTGTATTGATGTCAACTACGGAAAAACGGAATACCGATACCAAACCAAGTACCAGCCTATGGTTCATTATACCATCAAAATACCGAACACATTAGGAATCAAATACCAAGTACCGAGTTGGTATCAGTATGGTATCGGTATACCGAAAAGTTGTATCCGAGGACATCTCTACTGCAGAGTAGCCGAGGCGTCGGCGGCGGACCTGATGCGTGTGCGTGCCGAGGCGTCGGCGGCGGACCTGATGTATGTGCGGTGCAGAGTAGGACGTCGACTACGGAAAAACGGAATACCGATACCAAACCAAGTACCAACCTAGGGTGCATTATACCAACAAAATACCGAACACATTAGGAATCAAATACCAAGTACCGAGTTGGTATCAGTATGGTATCGGTATACCGAAAGTTGTATCCGAGGACATCTCTACAGCAGAGTAGCCGAGGCGTCGGCGGCGGACCTGATGCGTGTGGGTGCCGAGGCGTCGACGGCGGACCTGATGCATGTGCGGTGCAGAGTAGGACGTCGACTACGGAAAATCGGAATACCGATACCAAACCAAGTACCAACCTAGGGTGCATTATACCAACAAAATACC